CAACGTATGTCCCTGACCTTCGCTTATAAGTTTGAAAACAAAAAATAGATTTATTCTGTTCAAGTGTGACGGCTCGATGCATGTGACCCTCCTCTTGTTAATAATCTAGAGATGAGTACATATCAAAAATTGAAACGTTGATAAAACTTTTTTCGAAGCAGACATTTCTGATGTGTATGTATGCCAAGATCGAAGTTGGTGAGTTATGAAGAATAACGATAGCATGGTCAAGATTCAGCCTGGTCAGCAAAAAATGAACAAAAAGCTGGGTTCGCTTTTTCACAATTCCTTAACCATTTGGACAGTAACTTATTATTATTGAGTCAGAATAAGCCATGAATAAGCTGAGTGCTTGACGCAATTTGTGGAAATAAAAACTCATTCTTACTGCATACGTTATTTTGGTGTAGAAATATCTGGAAATATAAGACACTTTATAGCTTCACAAGTTCTGATTATAAGTGCAGGGGTTAAGATCTTGGGTAAGGTTTGGACATTAAATTATCGATTAGCTAAAAAGTATGTCCACCACTTAGTCAGACAAGTTAATCAAGTTAATGAGAATTTTAAAAATTCAATGAATAATTTATCACAAGGTTACTACACTCATATTTTATCCGCAATTCATTCACCATCAAGGTTTTACAAAAAATCAGTCGTTGTACTAGTAGGCTCACCCACGAGTTCGTAATAATGGGTTTCATCAGAAAAGTCTCATCAAATGTAAATCCTCATCGTTTCCATCGACCTTGGATGATTTGGTTTAGGTCGTCGCTCATTTCATTCTCAATACCTCCACCAACTTTGTTCTCAGTCTCTTCTTCTTTTTTTACAATCCTTGGTACGTGACACTGTCAGAAAGAATTTCAACACTGCTCCTCTGTGACATCATTATACTATCTCCTCTGCTCACCCTGCTCGAGTGCTTACCGACTCACTTTTGGTGGCGGATGCATCTGCATTTACCGCCGTCGTCGACTTTCTTTCTTCTTCTTCCTTTCTTTCTTTCACATATTCGGACTTTTAAGAGAAAGGACAACGAAGGGAGGATGAAGAGTTTGTGGCTGAGCTGCTAAAATGTTTGTTCTTGGCATTCAACATAGAGTTTAGGTGGAAAAGAGGAAGGAAGTTCGGCGTTTTCCGCGAGGATATCTTCACCGTTCGTGCGTAGTCAGCTTTGTCTTTGTACGTAGCCTCGCAAGGATAATAAAAGGATGATCTCCTCCGCTGCAGCTCCCAAGGAATGAATTCGAATGAGAATTCGACCGTCTGGCGGCTGAATAGAAGTAATAAGACGGACGAGCGAATAAAACGGATTCCTCGCAATTCTTTGTCCAGCAGCTCTCGCAGAGAATTATATTATCCCAAATCCGGCATGATGCTCCTGTTTTCTTCTTCAAGGGTGGACGATGAGAAGGAGAATGCGAACCAGAAAGTTGGTTGTTGTACCAGTTGTACAAATGCATATAATGCGGACCCATCGACCTATACGTACATATGCATAGCGTGCTATACGGAGGAGAAGCCAATTCACCCATTCATTTTATTTCAAATTAAAGTAATTTCAAGGTCTAGAATTCGATAAATTTTGTGAGAAAGTTGGAGCAGAGCGGAGGATGGCGACTGGGTGAAAGTGGAGGGAGGGAAACTGCGAGGAGGAGAGAGGGCGGAAGAGAAAAGGATAATATAAGGTCAAACGATTAGACATAAATCAAGTCTCATTCTCCATTGGATAAAATAAGGCTCAATGTTCCGTGTAAATTCTTGCACTTTACTGCTGCATCTGTCAAAACCGCTCTCCTCGTTACCAAAAGTAAATCTAATACCCATCACACTCTCCTCCTCTGAGAAATTGTGGAGAAATTAGGCCGAAGGAAAAGATGATTGCTCCATTCACCCAGCCAGCCAAAATCCTAGGGAAAGAATAAGATTCTGAAATGTTGATGAGCCGAATGCAAAAGAAGGTCCATTAAAGCCACGAGTGAACTGCAATTCATCAGACTTAATCTGCTTCAGACAGTTTGCATCGTTATTATTCCTCTCGTTTTAATAATATCAAACTTTGTCTGCGTCTTCTTTACTGGGCGAGAAGTAGTGGGCGGCGGGGGAGTAATGCCCTTGTCGGCTATCTCCTCAGTCCAGAAAAATACGACTTTCATATAATTTACTTTAACCTGCAAAATAAATTATAATAAATAAATGCGTTATGTGACATTTGATATGTGAATACCAAAAAAATCTGTGACGTTTCCGAAAGAGCTATTCAGTGCCCTGAGGACCCACATTAGTCGAATATTATGCGATATATGTAGCACATACATATTCATGGCGGAGAACGAATTGTTATGACACAAAAACGTAACCACTTCAAAGTCCCCAAATAATGGGATACTTAGGATTGAGTTCTAATTTAATGGCTTCAATACCAGACTGACCGAAGTCACAAAACTTTTTCTGAACCAAATATACTTTGCGAAGGCTTGGATCAAAATATTTAGCTGAAATACGTTAAATTAACCATTAGCGAACCATTATGTATGAACCAACGCATATAAACCGACAATCTGATCATAAATTTGTATGAATTATTGATGTGCGAAATGAGATTAATAATAAGGAATCAATCGCACACAATCAATATCAAATATTTATACATATATATATCCATAAAATGAAATGTTAAATTCTGATTAATAAGAACTTCCTGGACCAACTGCTCTATAGTAATTACCGAACTTCGTATGAGGTTAATAGATATAAAATACGCCTACTAAATACGACTTATTGTGATTTGGTATCAGATAAATCTTACGTTTTCTCTTGAAAATAGGAGGTTCTATTCTGTTAATTTATTATTGCTTATTTATTGACCGAATTGTCTGGAACGTGAGTTGAATTATGCTAGACCAACCTACGCTACATAAGTTAGGTAACTTTTCGCAATTTGAGTTGCGTGTTATTAAATAGAGACCATTGGACCGTTTTGGTATTTTATAATAATGCGAGAGGAAAGGTTTGTTGAAAATTTACGGAGAAGATCGGTTATGTCTTTTTCATGTGACACATTTCCAAACCCAAAGGCAAACGTGACGTAAAAGCCTCATAATAGTATTTCTAGACCATTCAGTACCTGACACTATTGCAGCCCTGCGATGGGAAAAGATGTAGCAAAAGTCTCTCAGCTTCCTCAATTTGTTGCTGAACCAATTCTTCTGTGGGTGGAGAGGCACACAGCTTAGACTTTTCCAAGAGAAGATATGGGCGTTTGACAGTGACAAGACGAAGATTAAAGTGTCCCATCCCCCGCATCACAAAACGATACTGCACAATAATACTTGTTAGCAAACGAGGCTATTATGTGACGAAGAGCGAATGTGGCTCAGCCTAATCCAATCGCTCAACATTGTCGACTACGTATAGCGTTATTGATACACGCTGAAATGCAACCTTGAGACGAGGCGCAGCGTTGATGATGAGAATGCTGAAATATAAAAGTGATTGTGTACTTGTTTGGCTAGACAGACATAGTCGATTTTAATTGAAACCACGTTTTGTCATAAATTTGTTCTTCAATAGAGCAAAAAACCGATACTAATATTTTACTCAAGTCATTTTTGAGTAATCTCCATTGTTGACCGTTAGTTTCCTTCAATATGTGCCCAATACTAAAGAAATACAGAATTTGTACTGACAAAAATTCTCACTTTATAAATTGAATGACTATTTGTCACTTCTTTTCTTGAATCATTTTGTGCAAAATGAGTATATGTAAGATGAGTAAGATGCACTGATATTAAACTGACAAGGATTTACTATATCATGAGCTGACATCACAGCTTCTAGCAAATTTTAGACGAGACTCCCCACCTTGGAAAAATCTACAATACCTTCATTCTGTGTCACAAACTCCTGAAATTTTTTAGAAAATGAGTGTCATTACATTTCATTAAAATGAATTAAGTGCGCATATTATTCCATGCACACCTTGACTTAATTGGTGACAATGTTAATTTTGTTGAAATCAACCAGCTTTAATTATCTGATATTGTATAACCGTCAGCTATAGTAGTAAGGGCAAAGTTATCAAATTATTAGTATGTGAAGGCAATCGAAAATCAAAATGGGCATTGGCCTAATATTTCAAACTTGATTTCCTTCATTTGATGACACTTTGATAATTTTAGGATTGAATTGCTTCGATTTAATATAATGGAAACAAATTGTTTCAATTATAATTATAATTCGATTCGTGGAAGTTCAATATTTTGGCTTAGAAAGCTTTTAAATACAAATAATTATTTTCATTTGCTAATTATCTGTACAAAATTTTAACACATGAATTTTACCATGCGCCCTATGAATAGGTAGATGTGTAGTGAAATGTCAATAACTAGCAATTCGTTAATTAATAAGAGCAAGTCACCTACATAAAGTGCAAACTAACTGTATGGAATCTGTGTCATTATCACTCAACGACGACCACTCTTTCATTTCCACATGTCATACTTATAGTGTCCTTGCCCTTTATCCATATTTTTCATTGTATGAAGAGCCCTGAAGCGACTTGAATTCATCTTGAGGAAATATTGCAATTGTGCGTTCAAACAGCAAAAAACCAACTCGTATAGTATTACCAAGTGATATATTTTTATGAAGCCACTTGCATACTCATTGTGCTGAATAAAGGTCCAAGTCATTCAATGGGTACCGGATTTCTACTTCGTGTTAATATTAAGATGTGTAAGGCAATACAAGAACTAACCAATTACAAACTCAATCGAGTAACAAAAAACTGATCAATTGAAATTTCCAGTGCACGATATTACGTTGGACATGCTAAGGCTACACCATCAGCTACACTTTTTTGCCAACCTAATGCAAAGGTATACGTGCCAATCCGTGAAGAATTGTACGTAACTAGATTCAAATGGTAAACTGAATAAGAGTAAATTGAGATTCCAAAAGTTAGCTAAAGAAGAACACTTACGTAGGCACTACTCACGGCTGTATCATTATTATCAAAATCTCAAAAGTATATAAAGTGATTTCTCTGCAATCATTCTCACATTCAGAGTCCAAGTTTCATTTGCAAAACTTCCAAAAACTTTTCGAGTTTCAACTCAATTACTACGTCAAACTTCATCATGAACTCCGTAAGTCACCAACTTAAATATTTTCCCACACGCTCCAACAAAAGTTTCCCATTTTCCATCTTGGTCAACTCCAACCACCGATCCATCTCGAAAACTTCTTCTTGTCAGGCCTAATATCGTCGTAATAATACATAATTATCAAAATGTACACATAGGTTGCCGTTATCATCCTCGCCGTCGCTTCTGCCGTGAGTGCTGGCGTTATTGCCCCAGCGTTCGCCCCAGCACCACTCGGCTACACCCACGGATTTGCTGCCCCTGCTGTGGTACTTTTCCGCACCCTTAAATATTCATTGCACTAACGCTTCCTTTTAATCCTCATAATTAAGAGTACGCGTAACTGTGTGTGCATGTTTAATTTATTGTTACTCTGTTGCTCCAATTAACTAATTAAGTATCCTGGATATGGACTGCAGGTTGCTCATGCTCCAGTTCTCCATGCCCCCGTTGTGACTAAAGTAGCTGCACCAATTGCTGTAAGTCGTTACTCATTAGTAATTCGAATTTATTCGTAAATGTTGTCAATTAGATAATAATTTTTCTATACATAATTATTTACAGTATGCTGCCCACCCAGTGGCTTATCCTTATGCTCATGCTCCAATTGTGAAGACCGCTGCTGTAAGAAATTATTTTTTAAAAGTCGCCAGTAAGTTTTGTTAAAATAAGTACTGATTTACTCTTTAAGGTTGCGTATACCGCTCCCCTTTTGGCCAAGGCAGCAGTCCCTGCCTTCGCACCTGTAAGTTAACAATTACCTAACTCACGAAATTTACTTCCGTATCATAAAATTAATTTTTGCTTATTCAAATAAAAGGCTTACGGAGCGTACGCCGCCCCAGCCGGTCTCCACTACTTGTAGATCACTTAAAAGTGCAAGTATAAAAAACAACAAGCTGTGATGCCCCTTCCTTTACACAAAAACGCTTACATTCTTCCCAATTGTATCCTCTCACCGCGGTGTCTTTCCATTAGAGATCATTTATTAAAGTTACCCATTCTTTAGTTAATTAATAACATGTCGTGTCGACATAATTGTCGTGAATACCTAAGAACAATTCAGACGCATTGAACAAATACAATAATATTTTTATACTTTTGTATCATTGTTGGAGTAAAAGAGACATAAAATAAAATCAAACTTGAGAATAAAATCCAAACATAAACTTTAATCTGCTTTTGAGAGCCAATAATTTCAACCCATGCAAAACTATGGGTTTCATTTTCATGGGAGTCGGTGGGAGACAAAGAATAGAATTCTCTTCTAAATACTGACCGATATTTTGCGGGCATCAAAACTGAACCGGAGTTGCACGATTTGTCTTTGCAATTGCACTCGCATTTTCATTACATAAAATCTCTTGAAATTTTTAGTTTGGAATTATTTATTAATTAAATACTGTTGTTTACAAAATGATATTTATTTCATACCATAACCTGAACAAAGACATTCTGACATAAATTGTGACAATAAACGAATTCACATCGGTAAACATTAAATGATTGGTAAAACTGTCGCTTTACAAATTCCAAATTTTGGTAGTTTGATTAAACTTCAACTTTTCCTTAGGAAGGACAATGTTGGCCGGATATAAAACACTGGTGCGGCTAGCCTTAAATGCTTATCCATCGTGCTTACAGGCCCAAGGTAATACAAAATATAAATATCTGTTTGTATATATAGATTTTCGAACATAAATTATCTTATTTATTCATAAAGTGAGATGTTCTTCCTCTTCCAACAAATTGTTCCAAGTACAACCTGGGTCACCATCGCTGTCCACCAGTGCCAAAGTGTCTCTAGAACCATCAGAAGAGGTGACCACCAGCAACAGTCAACTAGAATCCAGTCATAATAACAGCGACGTTAAAGAAAGCTCAAATCCTCGAACCAGACAAACTGCACAAAGGGAGCTTGAGGACACATTTACGCCATTTCGATACGTCTACCCAGAATTTCTTCCCGATCCCAATCTCAAGTTTAGAAATCGAATAAAGGAAAAATTAGAGAGGTTGGACATGTTGCATAGGCGTTCGCAGGTTGATATTCCCGAGTTTTATGTTGGTAAGAAAACTTGTCATTCTTAGAAACTAAATTTTAAATGTTCTACTAATAATCCGATTCAATAACTTGCAGGGAGCATCATGAGCGTAACTGTCTCTGATGTAAATGCTCCTGGTAAGACAACTACATTTGTAGGAATTTGTATGCAGAGGGAATTCACCGGTCTAAAGTCGAACTTTACACTGAGAAATGTTGTGGATGGAATGGGTAATTCGATTTATTTAACATATTTACTTATAGTTTTTGGTCTTGTATGAACAACGTAAAATAAATCTGATAATTAATTTTTCCTAGGAATTGAGATTTGTTATGACCTTTACAACCCAACTATTCAAAATATCACTTGCCTTAGATTAGAAAAGAGACTGGACGACAATTTGCGATATCTTCGAGATGCACCCCTTGAGTATTCAACGTTTCCTTTTGACATGACTCCAGAGGTCAAAAATCCTGATGCTCCAGTTCCTATTAATCCATTGAAGGTATTTCGAGTCAGCATTCAAAGTTATCGAGACGAGATCAATAATGAAATCTCTCGCGTTATTAAAAACTACAGATAAAGCTTAACCCAAGACCATGGACTGCAAAATGGCACCTTTGGGATTTAAAAGGGATAGAGGATGTTTCTCACACGTTAGAAGATTGGCAGTTGCGGAAATTGAAAACATGGAAGTTCCTCACGGGCGACGAAGTTAAAAATGTGGATTTAATGAAAACTTACAGGTACAAAAATAATTTTAATACTAACCATATCTCAACAAAAGTCAATGGATATACTGAGTATGTATTGTCCTTCACTCAGATCGACAATTCCGGTCGAAGAACAGGTAGAGATTTACAGCGAGTTTGCTCCACAACTAGTTAGCATCAGTCAATCCATGAAAAAACAAAAAAGAAAGCGAACTTTTTCCAAACCTACCAAATCGGCTTAAAGATGTTTCAATCATATTAATATAATATTAGACGTTAGTTTTCGATAGTGTGTAGACATTGTAAGTTTTTACTATGACCTGGAAATAAAAGGTTTTGATAACCATGATTCAAATTATCAACCAGTCAACGATCTGCTTTTTGTTGTAACGCACCCCACGCCCGTCGACGGAGATCGTGGAACTTCCTAGAGAAAGTCCTATGAGAGAGAAAGTTGCTCCCTCACCAGATTTTTGGAGAAACTGTGAGTGGAGAACTGAGATTCGGACTGGACAGCAGCGGGAGAGCCCAGCTAAGCACACGGATTCATGAATCTAACTTTCTCTCGCATTTCCACTTCTGAGAATTAGTTTGTTTAATCAATATATTCAATATTGGGACGCCAACACCGGACAAGAGGTATTGAATCATATCCTAATATTCTACCTTGTAAGTTTAGCTTAATTCTAGTTTGTAAATGTTATTATGATGCATAGGACTTCTATTTAATTACACATTTTACTTTCTCCTAAATAATTATTTAATTTGATTGCTATTTCAGATCTGCATAGCTATTTTTCATGATACCGATTGTACAAATGGTCAAGCAATCAGTGCTGTTGCTGGGCGTAGGTTCGTTCAACCCCCCAACAATTATGCATCTTAGAATTATGGGTGAGAAAGTTTATGTTTAGGCAACTAAAATTTAATCATTTAAAAATTTATATAATAATGGACTAAGTTTTTTTTGGTGTGACTGATTGTCTTATACTTGTTACAGAATTGGCTAGGGATTTTCTCACAAAAACCGGAAAATTCAGTGTAGTCGGAGGAGTTTTGTCTCCAGTGCATGACGCTTATGGGAAAAAGGTGATTTGGAATAAATAAAAATTGTATGCTTCGCTGGACTTGACTTGATTGATTTAGTACAACATTATTTCTTTTTGTGTAGGACCTTGTCGCAGGAAAGCACCGTATAGAAATGACAAAATTAGCATTGGAGCATAACAGTTGGGTAAAGCTATCATCGTGGGAGGCAGCCCATAATACGCAGTGGACCAGAACACGAGCAGTAGTTGATTATCATCAGGTAAATTAAAATTTAGCATTATTTGGATATGCATGAAAATAATTAGTACCAAATCAGTAATTTGTTGTAGCATCGAAGTCGTACCATGCAAATTTGTCATCCTAATCAATCAGTGTAGGACTCGAATGATTTCTGCGTAATAAGTCTTTGAAGTAATTCTAATTTTCGTCTCTGCTGTTTTTCGCAGAATCGTCTCAACGCTTACCTTGATGGGAGTCTAGGAGAGAAAGACCCTTGGATGCCCGATCCACAGAATCATAGTTCCATTAGTTGTAAATTAGTTTGCGGAGCAGATGTGCTGGAGACGTTCAATACGCCTGGACTATGGACTGAAGAGGATGTAAGGAATTTTACTTGAAAAGCAATATTTTCCGTTGATTAGTTGTCCCATCTTGTTTGGTTGGAATTTCTATTCACCACGCCTAATGAAAGATGGTTTACTACTTACTGCGAAATGAATGGATGACTTTCCTTTTCAACCATCATCATCCTTTTCATATTTCACAATTTACTGTATTTCTGACGATCATTACTCATCACCGCAGAGTTGTATATAAAACTACTCTCACCAGTACAGATCTCTCTCATTAGTATGCAGAGAATATTAGTTTTAACATGTAAATCATAATTTTGTTAGAACTACACAACTGCGTTTACAGCACGGGGATTTCTTATAGTTCGGTAAAAGAGGGGAGCCAAACATAGACCCCACATATATAGATCTTCAATTATGCATGTACAATAATGATTCCATTCATGAAGAATGAGAATGGGCTGAAGTGGATTTCATCCCGGAAATTGGATTTATTTTAACTCTATGCATGTGAAAGTTGTCCTTTATGTCCGCATATTCATTTTTGAGCACGCCAATAATTTATTAGGTATACTCCGAGCTAAGTTATCTAATTTATCCTCCAAACATAAATAAATAGCTATCTGGAAGTAAATACTAAACTGGGCTTACTAGAGCTGTAGGATGATAGCTCGCAATCAATATATATGTACATGGACATTTTTTAATGAACAGAACTTTATTTAGCCCACGGATAGTCAAATGCACTTGAGTTTAGCATTTGTTAAGAAAATAAATCAGCTCTTTGATGTAGCGGAATGAAACCGAGGGCGAGCATGTAGTTACGCAACAAGGGAGAAGATTGAGCTCAAGTTCATCATCGTAGGGATTATAGGGACTCATGAGTAAGAAGATGAAACTTATCTAGTGCATACTACTGTCCAGCTGTAAATAATCGTGTTGCTTCCTGCTCGCGTATATATCTACACAATATTAGATATTACAATATTATAAGGTTGGGGAATTTGAGAATCGCTAAATTTTAGAAGAGAAAATGCGTATTCCATGCTCGGTCCATTTTACTTGGCTGCTCTGGTATGCGTGATGTAAATTTGAAAGATGCTACATTTCCTCTTTCGTGGTCGTGGGGACTGGATAAGAAATTCATGAGTGGCAGGAATCATCCAACAGAATTCGTCCTTCGAGCTTTCCAATTACACTCTGGCATGAAACCGCGAGTTGTTCTGAACTGACAGACAGATAGAATAGAACCCTCAGAGAAAGTGGGCAGGAGGACGCAAAAGTAATATCAGAAATTGAGTGCAGTTGTGTATTCTTATATGTTGCAATGCGTTGCAATCGCGTGTTACGTAATCTAATAACTTTATCCCCAACTTTCTTTTCTATTTTTCTCATTAGACCCTGACATTGGCTCAGGATTACGGACTAGTAGTCATTTCTAGGTAAGTAAATAGTGAATTGCTATTATACGATTCCGTTTCCAAAGTCGACTCAAATAGCCAACTGACACAACCAAAATGCGGCTATGTTTCACCAATGTTCTTACATATTTAATTGTATGTACATATGTATGCATGATTAAAAGCTAGTAGCTTTAAGTGAAATTTCATAATTTTCAATAATTTTACCTTTCATTCTTCTTCACCTTTAGGGAAGGAAATGACCCTTATAGATCAATTTACAACTGCGATATTTTACACGAACATCGGGTAAGAAGAAGCTATTTATTTCTCTTCGAAGGAAGATGACGTACCTATTCGAGTAATTTATTCCTCCTCTGTTCATTAAAAAAAATCTATTTGGAGATTTATGAGCAGTATCCCGTCTCATAGAAAGCACACGTGGTTCTTGTTCCTTTCTTTCTTGCATACTTACCACAGCTTTATATAAAGTTACTTATTTATATATGTGCGTACTTAACTGCATGCACACACGAGGCTTCACATTTATTTTACGAGGATAATAGTTCAATTACTACGTGTTTTTCACTTCTAGGCAAACATCCACGTGGTACAAGAATGGTTATCAAATGAAATATCTTCCACCAGAATTCGTCGTGCCTTAAGGAGACATGAATCTGTCCGATATGTAGTGCCTGACCCTGTAATTGATTATATCGCTGGCGAAGGGCTGTATAAAACTTTGTGAATAATTTAATTAGTAAATAGTTATGTATATGGGCATAAAAGTGCCCCGGACTTTATAAATATCAAACAAAGTTTTCATGAAAATATTGTGACACGAGTATTTTGTTGTGTAAGACATATATTTATTATTTTGTGAGTTGAATAAACGAATAGAAAGAATGCATTACGGTCGAACAATATTCCTCATTTACGAGCTTGCACAGGGAATGCCTCTGAGATTCTTAGGATTATCATTGGTATTGGTGGAACACTAATACTATGCATAGTTAAGGGTGTCATGAAGGAGTACAATTTTCACTTCCAATCTTGGATTAGACGTAAACATTAGGTTAACGTTTTGAAGCGAACATCTAAATTTGGCATAAAATGTGGTGAGTGATGATGGAAGATTTAACGACCATTTACAATTTACTATCAGGAAGAAGACTATTAGACTTCGGATTAGACTTTGAATATTCATCTCCGCTCCCTAACGTCAACGACGTCAAGGGTAATAAGTGTTTACTGCCAAGGATTATGTGGTTTGGTGGTAATTTGATGGTGATGACTTTCCTCGCTCACTTGCTGTCATTTTGCAACCGTGTTAATTGGATAAATTGATGAACAAATTCAAGGGACCGGAGATTACTTCCAAAGTTTTGGGTACTAAAAAGTAAACTCTCTACTTCATTACAAATACGATACATTTTATAGTAGGTTACACATTTATGTATAGTATTTGTAGTTGTACGCAACATGTTAATAATGAGCATTAATTTTTTATAGTATTTGTAAAGCCGATCCCAATGGACCTTTATGTCCGTAATTTCTCGTTTCATATCACTGCTTGATGCATTATTTATAACTGTAAATTCCATTGTGAAGCTGGTTGCTCAGCCAGATCTCTTTCCTTCCTACATATTCTACTCACACAACCTGCTCTGCGTATTTGTGATTCATTCCACCCAAACCCAGCAGGTCTCATTGACATTTTTGGTTGTGGTAGCCCTAAGCTGTGGTGACCTATAGGACACCACGCCACACACAACTATCCCATGCAGTTTTCCATTATTATATATCATTATTATATTCCTGTAAAGGTTGGTGTGTAGCAGAATGCGGTGAGATCGTAGCATCTTGCATAAGTTTATAATCATAGCACCTTCTTCGTCATCACAGTTGGAAAGGTCAATGTCAACGGGACGCAGTGTTTGAAAGCGTGAAGGACATTTATATAATTCAGTTGAAGGCCAATGTTCAAAATATTTTGAAAAATGCGGTTTAAGAATGACTTGGACTCGTATAATTTTGGGATTTACAAAATTCTTAAAGGTTTAAGCAACCTCGACGAAGCGGTAGGTCAGTGGATCTAACAGAAAGAAACGTCAAGTTGACTAATGCCGGTAAATTAGAAACTAACATAATTTAGCCAAAGCCACTCAAACACAATGTCCCACAGTGTCTAATACATACATTCAAGTACCTGTATCGCCCTAAAACCCACACGAATAAATCAGCAGTACGATTTCACTCAATTACCGTCTTCTCCAGTCACCATCACAGCGAAAGTAATTCTTGTCCTCGGTGCTTATGTATACAGTGGTGCTACCACTATATATTCAATGCCACTATATATTTTCGATGCCACAACGAACGGGAATTTCTCAATATGCACTATGTGCGTCCGTACACACAAGAAGCCGTTGTGTTCTGGTATGGAAAAGGTATATCGAGGTGAGCCTAAAATTCCGTTCTCCATATACTCGCTCGTGTTATGTTCTTTTTACTTTTATTCCAAGGCACGATCACTTTATTGTTCGCTCAGTGACCCGATTCGGATGTTCTTTGCACATGACTTCTTCTAAAAAAATTGGCAAATCATGCTGGATAACCTCGTGATTCATTGTGCAATTCAAAGTTGCCCAACACAAACTATTAGTCGTATGTGTAACGGATCCAGGAGAAAGCAAGTAAGTATTGGGTTGCATTGCATTACCTCGTCCTCCACTGTCTCGCTCCTTCCTGAGCAATAAGAAAGTCAAATCTCGATCCTTGTATTTTAGCCGCTTGAGCAGAATGTAAACTACGGAAATCAGGAAAGTTGGTTTGTGTTTGCGAAGCTATTGTATTGTATGTTGTGACCACATCAAGGAATGGGTGGATAATATGAAACTGGCTGTTGCGGTGGTTTTGCAAGTGACCCGTGAGTGAAAGTAAGGCGGAAAGGAATACGAAATATTTAGTTGTTGTTGCGAAATATATTACAATTTAATTACACGTTTTATTACAGCAAAAGAATATACAATAGAGAGATGCCAGTTGTTACACTACTTCTATAATGCTGTTGGTTTAAGAAGGAGCTATATATGGCTCTGTCCATAAGTGATTTATGGTGGGGTTGGGGTTGCTTCCTTTATTTTATTTCATCTTCAGCCGCCGTTTGTGAACTACCATTAGTTATTATACTTTGTGTGTGGTTTAATTAATTTCTAACTCTACGACATGAGAGGATATTTTATCGTCAAAAATAAACTATGTCATCCTGCTCATATAATAATGTATCTGATTTGTAGCTACAAAATAATAACATTTGGATCATACATAGTCACAAATCATAGAGATTCTTTATCGTATATATATACGTACGTATATGCACATGTGTAGTTTGTAATTGCTTACTCTTAAATGCCTTCAAACGAACAGGAAATGTTTAGCACGATGCTCAAGATAAGGAAAATATTTGTAGGGATATTATTAGCACGTTAACTTATGAATGATGACAATGACGATTCGTATTCTTTTCCTTCCGTCCTCAGCATACATGTAGGAATAATATAAATGTGGCAGCATTTTCTAGACAAAGATGGTGAGGATGTTGCTCAAATATAAGGTAAATCCCAAGAGGAAAAAAGCGGATGTGAAATGACTTAGAGCCACGGAAGCTGCGGCGGCTGAATCAGCCATCAAATGAAGACTTTGATCCGCTTGGATGTTGTTGTGCGGACTGCTCTCAACGGGCAAGGCGTTTCCACCCTCGGTCCCCCCATCCAAAAAATCCTCGTCCTCGTAGGGAACGGGTGTGGTGGTAGAAGTCGACGTTGTTGTGGTCGTTGTTGTGGGCTCTGGGACCACAGAGTTGTTCGCCAGGAAATAAGGTTTGCTATGTTCAAGACGAATGTCTTGAATCTGTGTTTCATAAAAAGAAAAACCCGACAAAGTTAGTATAAAACTTGTAATATTTAAAAAATGACAAAAAACTGATTCAGACAAGCAAAATCTCCAACAGAAAATCCGTTAAAAATAAAAACGAACCTCAATGACCTGAAATCAATAAATCATTTGAAATTATTCTTAACATCAAAGCACAATCTCTTCAACAGATAACCTACTGATTTGAAATTCAAAAAGAAATCTAACCTTCCTGTGGTTGTCCATAAGTCGGGTGGAGAAAGTTCCGTCTTTAAAGTAAGTTTTCAATGTGGCCCAATAGCTCATTTCTCCGTTAAGCCGCGTCCCATGCAGTGTTACGTTTATGGCTGCATTCATATAATTAAGTATACATATTGCATTTCTTAATAAAAGTCTATGTCTATGTATATGTGCGACCTGTATAGTTAATTGAATTTCATAGAATAAGCATCCAACTAACCTGTTCCCGGATAAAGATCTGCCACGGCCGTCATTGTTTCCGTTTTTCCTAGTGAGGTAACCAAATGAAGTTCTTAATTATAAAGGGGTTGCTCATTTAAAGGTCCACTTTGAGATTATTATCAACAAAATCAAATGAACAGTCATTATCTAAAGATGATAATAACAATAATGCTTCACCAACACCCCGCAGTTTTACTCTCCCCGTTTACCAGCCCCGTAAGCCCGACACTTTTAGCTTCCTTATTACTGAATTACAAATACATGGAAGGGGAAGGATTCAGGGTAGGATCTCAAGTTTCCAGTTCAATTCAGCAGAGGCGACACACTAATTGGGCGTCTCGCAGGCAGAGATGCAGAAGCTTAATACACAGAGTTCGAGGAAGAAAGCAGGCTGAGGGTGCGGAGAGCAATCGACGAGAGAAAGTAAGTTGAGGGAAGGATAAAAACAGGATCAAAGAAAAATCATCAGTTAAATTGGTTGCTGCAGGATTTTCCTGACAGATTGTGATTACCACTCGCCCACCCTCCACGCTATTTCAAGGTGGCCTCAATGATTCCCAACGTTAGCCAATGAGCCAGCTTCCCACGGGTGAAAGCTCTTTCAAGTCCAAATGGTGAAAGCAGTTTATGGAGCAACATTGCTCAATTTAATTTATTGAAAGTTAATGCAACACACTTTACTTCGAGGATTAACCAAGAGAGCATTATGCAATCAATGTCACAACGGATGTGAAATTTTCTAAAATGTGTTCATCATTATGTTTTAATTTTATTATAATTCTCAACGTGCATTGTGTATTGAATATGATTTTGTGCGTGTAGGAGGTTACGAACAACTTGCTCTGAAATATTTATTTAATACTCTCCTCGAAACACCACGCCGTCAGCCTACCCGCCTGCTTCATCGAATATCTTTTGTGCAAAATAAAGGCTTATCTCTCCCATGCTTCAGTGAATTGAGAGCTGAGTGAAGAATAAGTTTTCAAAGTTGCACAATTCAAGGAGTTGTGTTGTTTAGAAGTTTGGATGATATGCTTAATTTTGTTTTGTTTGTTACAAAATCGTAATGACTTAACTGGTCTGATGAATACAAATCAAGTTATCCTTCCAATGTTCAATTTGAAACTTCATTGAATTTTCAGACTAGATTAACATCTGCAGAAAATGAGGAGCAGAGTAGCAGAATTACAATTGTCAGTATAGCTATTAATAGGAATTTCAAAGTTCTGTATACTCAGAACTCACAGCTCCTCAGTATGAAACTTATTATATTGTGAGTGAATGAGTGAATATAAATATTATGACAAGATGACTACTAAAATGAGCGATGGCAAGGAGTGAATTACTAATAAATTGGAATATGACAAAGAAGTTGTTTAATGAACAGAACGAAATTGTAAATTTGTCTCGAAAGCTGTTCCGCATCAAAGTAAATGCACGTTTCTGATGACAGTCAGCAAATTCTAGACGTTATTCTTTCTTTTTACTGTGAAAGGAATATTTACTACTTTCACAGACTCGAAAGTTCTCATTACGAGAAGTCGACGGGGCAATAGAACTGGGCCAACCAACAAACAATTTCATTGCAAACTTGTATAAGCACTAAAAACTTTTCATGTAGAGAGTTTGGAGAGGCGAAAGAAGCAAGCTTTTTAAATCCATGTTCTAAATATATGTTGCACTGTTACTAAACTTTGAACTAAGAATACAATTTTGTACTCATTACAAAGTTTTCTGTGTAAACCAGAGAGTGGAGTTTAACATGTTGTTTCCCGATTCGTCCAAGAAAATTCATAAATATTCTGCTATAAATTGTATGCGTACTACTTATCACACTGTTACATATGTACTGTTTACTGCACCCCTTGATACTCCTTGTCCTCTTCTGTATAATGGCATAGCACGAATGACTTAAAAAGAGTGACGAGGCTTTGAATAAAAGATGACACTAAATAATTTCCCAAAGTCAAGAGTCGTGTAGCTCAAATCTTTTTCCGAATCTGATTAAACTGATAAATCAGCCTTTGTCAACTGTAAGCAGAGAATAGAAAATTCCTTCGTCATTTATCTTATTAATGGGCCACCCAGATACATACATACGTACGCTTCCCAATAATTGTCCTACTATATTCATGCATTGATTACTTTTCTGTACAAAAAGGCGACGTTCAACTGGACTCGACAGTATCACTACAAGACGTTCCGAGTATAAACAATTTTAATTAGAGAAAAAGGGGTATGAAAGGAATGTCGTGTATTAATGGTTCCTTTGTCTACTAAACATATCATATCATGTTGCTAATCGTTGGACGGCCATTTTGGGATGTAGGTACAACAGCTGCGAATGACTCGTGGCCTGTTTGACCTATTATTTCAATATTTCCTGATGATGACTTTCATTAGACGTGTTCTCAGTTCAAAGGCTAGTTCAAATAAAGCCAAAATGTGATGATCATAATGGCGTGAATAAACAAGCTGTGCCATACTCGGCACAGATGATTCTTTGACTTTGGCCCCTAGAAAACAGCACTGGAATGGGTTTAATTGCCCTGTTTACAAGTCTAACCAACCAAACATAAACTAATTTTGCTGTTATTTCTATATGGCTCATCGCAGCCGTAGGGGAACCGTAATGAGATTTTTATAAGGGTGGCAAATTTGCTTTGTAATTATGGCGGAGCTTTACTTGGTTGGTAACATCAACAACACAATCAATCCTAGTCTCATATTTACCCCCAGGATATTGTCATGATGTTCACATTTCCTACCACAAACTTTTACAACTTAAATTCAAAGAACACATTGTAAACCATTTTTCCTCAGTTGTCATCTCACAGAGAAGAACGTTGAAGACAAGGCCACTAAACAGCAATTAATAGTGTGAGCTGTGTGCATAACTCGTAATTAGCAAAGAGGGTGGACGTTTAGCAAAATAATACAAGTTGATTGATTAAATATTTAATAAGGCAGACAAATTAAAACCCTTTATACATTACTCTGGGCTGTATGTCATTCATTCATGATGTAAAAATTGACTATTTATTTACTATAGCGTGCATTTTTGTGATGATTTGCTTGGCCAACTTGACTGCAAAAATAATGCTCGAGTTGCTGACAAAGAGCAGAGATTTGTAATGCATTTATGTATATGTTGTCGTATAAATGTAAGGAATGTTGAATTTCATGAATACCCAGAGGACGTATCATCATGAATGTGGAAATACGATACTAGATAAGCCAACTCAATTTATATGCATAATGCATTTGTCGTGAAACAGAATTGTATTTTTCCACTGGAGTTGTTGGAGAGATTATTACGTTGTTCTCTTATCTGGGTGTTTACTTTTCGTTCTAAGAATTTTGGTTAAATATGAATTTTAAGACTTGAGCTTGGTCATCCATAAAAGTAAACAGAACGCAATTTTATTTTGGCCAGTTTTATTTGAGCTGCAGAACTTTTGGCATTTACGGCGATATCGTATCGAATTCGTCGTACGCAGGTCATCATAGTCCATGCAATTACGTACATGCATACATACGTGTGCTGGGTTATGTAACAGGAGAAACGGCGGAAAATGGTAATGATTCACTGTAACCAGTTATCTGGATGCTCTTTGCAAGAATGAGACTTGGTGAATGTATGTGCATAGGAGATGATAGAAACCAGAAAAACAAAGAGAAAGACTGTTGGAAAACAAAGCGTGTGTCTCCAAATGAATCGAAATTGGAGATGAAAGAAAGAAAATAACAATAATATCGCCACCACATCACAGCCACGCTTTTGTCGTCACTACTTTTAGTCCGAGCTATTGTTCGTAGCATGGCGCACAGTGGTGATGATAGATCTACCCTTTTACACTTAATGGCTTATTTATTATGTAGTTGTGTCTTCTCGTTGCATCAAAATCAGCCAAAAACAAACATTCAATTTCCTTTCTCCTTCCTGCCGAATGTGTTGACGTCGTGCGCCCACAGTTAACGATGAAGGGCCGAGATTCTTAAAACGTTGGATGATTATGAAAGAGCTGTCAGCCTCGTTAGATTTTTTATTGTCCCAGATGGCCACCAAAGGGAAGATGAGATGGTTAACTGTGTCTAAATGAGATCGGACGGATGGGGAAAGCTTACTGTATGTATGTACGTGTGGGTGGATGTGGGCTGTCGTAGTGGCAAGAGGTTATATTATTGATCTACTTTTATCGCTTCCTTTGCTGACCCATCAACCAGAATCAAAGAAATGTATCGCCAACGGAAAATTCTATATAAACTCACACAACGTACAATCAATGACAATGACTAACTGCCCACAGACATGAACGACTTTCCAATTTCTGACGAATAATTTCTAGTTACTTATTACTCAAGTCTCAAGACCAACTATGTATTTGGATGATTGAGTGGCATAGGACGGGCAGTTATTCCACCAGTGCTTGTATTTATCAAATATTTTTCTGTATCATTTTGTGCAATTTATGCATTTTTTACTACCCGGCGGAAGTCACAATCCCACTGAACAACAACTCTGACTCTGACTGGCTCTGAACATAAAATTGATTCTTGCGTTTGTTGTTTTTGGCGAAACATGTCACAAAATAAGTTTGGACAGCTAGCACAGTCACAGCGAACAACTGTCGTTACACACCAATAATGTTCCCTATGCAATTTTTAACCAGAAGAAAATGCGAATTTGACAACTTATTTAATACAAATCATTTAATCGAAAATGAGGAAAAAGTAGCTTTAACTTCAAGAAGAAGAGGTGCTTGTTCTTTCTTGTTGGCAGTAAGAACTTTATGCATAAGCCTTGCCAAAATCAATAAATGTGTCGCCCTTTTATACAAAATGCGACGACAAATTCAAAGTCGAGAAATCCATTCCATGTCATGCATGCAGTCGTCTTTTATTTTTTAATATTTGGTGGAAAAAAATGATGCCACATATTTCCAGTTTTCCAGTCCTAGAACGTCTACACCCGATTGACCAGTTATATTTTACTTATTTGGGTTTCAACAAATTAACCCAAAAAATAAATGTAATCGCTCACTGCTACACAGACACCATGCTTCGAATGAATTGCTTTTCAAACGGCAAAGGATAAAGACTGATTCACTACCTAACTCCAACGCTCTTTTGATGACCTTTGGTTTTCACTTTGAGGCGCAATGAAAAAATCCGAATTGAATTTAACAAAGCAATTTGCCAATGCTCAGGGGAAGGATTTACCACCTTTCCATGATCTCGGTCACGAGATGGTACAAAAGAAAGCAGGAAAGATAAAAGCAAAGAGCCTGCTCTTCTGACTGACCAACCACGCAGTCCAATTTCAACTCTTGCTATTCATTTATCTCACTTTAAACCCTCAAAGCTAAAGAAAATAAGAAACTAACCACGGCACAAGAAGAGAGGTCGTGGCATGTATGTACAGACATATATATATCCACTTACGCATTATCATATACAAGCTTCCTTGGGAGGAGGCTACACACATACTCGAACGAATCAAGAGTACAATTTCAATTGAGCCGAATTCAATACTATTTCGATTTTGATGTTTTCGCTCTCGTCCACCTCGCCACCTCAATCTCTCTCAATCTTTTAGTCAGAAACACGGTCGAAAAGTCAGATAAATTCAGTACGGATATGTGTGTGTGTGAGAAGAGGAGTTAAAAAACTGAGAGTCCACGTCCAAACCTAATTTCACTTTCTAAACACAATAAGTGTTTGGATTCGATTTGATGAACTGTGTACCCTTTATTTGTTTCTTTTTCTCAAGGAGGCGGTATTTGTAGGGTTTGAAATTCAGGGTTTGAAATTGAAAATTGTTGCGAGTCCATTCGCGAAATTGCTTACCACTCGAAATAAATACAATTTACGAATATATAATACTTTTGATATATATACATGTGTGTGTATATGTATACTGCGCACTGGTGACTGGGGAAAGCAAGTATTGACTGACTGAATCAATGATAAGTACGTATCCATTGCCCAAAATCTAGAATTTTGACTTGGTAACCTAACCCTACTGCCCACGAAGTATGAAGAACCGCCCCCATCTTACGTGCATAGATCGTTAGAAATGAAGAGGGGAAGTAACGTGTGGAAATGAGACTTTTCCCGTTTTAATACACCACAGTAGAAGTGTATGTTTTGGTGAAAACCTGTAATGCAACCATTAACTATTAACAGTTACCCTCTGACGGAATAATTGTTTTATTGCCTGCATGTGATGTGGTTGTGCGTGCGTGTGAAGTGGTATTTGAGGAGGAGGAGGAGGAGAACGACAGCAGAATGCATTTTACCACTGAAACCACTGAAAGAAGTCTATTAAAATACCACCGAAATTGAGCAAGAACGAGGGTCAAAATTCGTTTATTGTGAAATGGTTGCATCCACAAGATACACATCTCTGACACGCTGATTGTCTCATTGTGTTATGGAGTGAAACCTGTAAAATAGAGACAAATAAACCCCACCTTTTGTATCCGGGAGGACAGCGAAGGTTCTCATTTCATCCCCATATGTCCTTGTCCCTGACAATGGACAAGTTAATGGAAATGAACTTGTGTTACAAGGGGGAAATTTTATGGCCCTGCTACAACCATTTGTCTCATTTTGTTAGCATTTCGCTCGAGACCGTTTTGTTTGACGAAAGGCCCGAACACTGGGGTGAAATGGATACATGATTTTGTTTAACCAAAAGCGAAAAAGTAATGTGTGAATGGTGAAAGAGCAGATTAAACAGTGCATTGCGGTAGCTTTTTCATCTGCATAATATGTACATAGGTACATATGTGGGGTGGAGTGAGAGGGAATAAGGGAGGTGAGGAAGATGGACAGAAAGATTGGGTGTGGATATTTTGGTGAATAGATTCTCTTTGATGAAATGGACGGGCAGCAGTAAGGTTTGAATAGACAAGATAATAAATGGTTAAACTGATTCAACCAACGCAGAAGCATGTGCCAAGGCAAATTCTCAAATTATGTACCAGCTTGCGTGAACGGAATTCCCCATTCTAGCGTTTTCGTGGATTCTGGCAGATGAATAACGGTATGAAGACCTTTGGCCATCAGATAACCTGCATAAGAGTATTATTGGTATAAATAACGCTCTAATATTAAATGCGCAAAATGTGTAAAAAAAGCCAAACGAACCTTGTCCAAAATAATCGAACGAATTCGTTTCAAATGACAAAACGCTCTCCACTTTGCCTCGTTTCCTGTCTCTTGATTCATCGTAATAATTGTTCTGCAATTTTCCAATCGCCAGAACGATATCCTCCTCAATGAACCCTTTATTCCTCTTGAGCTGTATGTCACTCAGCTCGTATCTCACAGGCTCAATTTCCGTCAAAACGAGACATGATCCAGAAGGCGTTGGTTGGTGGGGAAATATTGCAGACTAGTTGAACAGAAAGTTACAGAACTTTGATCAAGTGGGAGTAATTAAAGATCTTCGAAATGTAAGACTTCAGAATTTTTATTTTCTAAGAGTACATGGGAACAAATAGAAAATGCATACCCCGAGATTAAGGGTTGGGTCTAAATAACCGATCACCGTGTAGTTCAAGTCGGCTGCGAGAAATTTCTGAGGTTTGACCGACACAGCAACTGCGCCAGTGGGAGGAGGATTGGGCCGCTTCCACAAGGCTGAAATTTAAAATAGCCCCGAATATGTAAATACACAAGGAAACAATTCACACGCGACATCAACTACGTATACACACATACAAATGGATGTACTTACACCATACGAGTCGGGAAGCGCTTTGTGAAATTGTTTGATATTTGTCAGAACCTTGTGAACCTTCCTGTGTGTCAATGTTGCAAATACTACCCTCTGTTCCATCCGAGACTAATCCGACTCCACGGAGAGCTATAATTACGTGACGATAATAATTACTCTTACATTCAATAAAACATTTCATATAACATTTCTTAAAATTAATGAACTTATGTATGTACACACGTGCATGTTTATATGCAGCATGTATGTTTATATGTATGTTTAGATGAGTTCCTGATGTCATTTATGCATGAAGTTTATTGCACAACAGTGGTGATGGACAAGAAACACGAGCTAAACTGGTATAATTTGTCAAATACACTAAACGACATACTTTTGTTCATGGTTTCGCTTATTTTGTCCTCAAATTGAGCAAAAATCGATACATTATAGTTGACAAAATACAGTTAAAGTCATGGCAGACCAAAGACCCATTAATCAATCAATGAACAATGTGCAGAGGAGAAACAAAGGTGACGAAGAGACGAATGCTAAAGCGAAGGGCTTACTACTGACGTACTCGTGTGATAAACTCGGCAAACGACGCCTGGTCCATTCAGTTTTTTCAGCGGATCCTTGGCTGTCCCTAAAATAATCATGCAAAAATTACCAGTATAATAATTTCTTCATAGGAAATACATATCCCAATGTATTTAATATGTGGCAACACCTTAAAAATATCATTAATTACCTTTTGACCAACTCGCTTGCCAAGCGTCGTCTTGTCCTTCATTCGGTTTTTTTAGCATAAGCGGATCCTTAGCTGTCCCTTTTGACCACCTTGCCGTACTTGATGTCACCAACTGTCCAAAGTCGCCTGATCGTACATACACCATGTCCCCACCAACGGTCTCTGCACAAAAGATAGCAGCCAAGCACAGCACTGTCAAGTTCCTCAGGGAATATTGTCTCCTCTTCTCTCCGAGATAAGGTGACAAAGAGGATTTATCCCCTTTCATTGTCATGTCGGGTGACATTGAAATATCTGAGTTGATGTTGCCAATAAAACTGGTTCTCCTTTGTGGCGGACAAGAATCTTCCCACATTGTCACCAAAGTGTGCTCTTCCTCATCATTTCTTCCGCCCATTATTTTCCTCATAATGGTAATAATATTACGTTCCTTCCTTTTGTATTTTCTTACCAAATGACCAGGGAAAGGACACCACTCGACATAAATCTCAAAGTGCACTCTTCACGATTTTATTGCAACACAAAAAGTATTATTTTCAACCATCAAGTGCACCATAAAGGCCAACGACAAATAACACTGCATAATAGCAATTAAAGTACTGAACGAGTTTATGTAGAGACCACCACTAAAGCCCGAGAGGGTTAAAATGTCACTGGAATTGTGGACCACAAACTGCAGTCGCACTTGTGCACCACACCAAGTTCAAGACTAATGGGAGATTATGTTACAGTAATACATGCACGTTGAAACAAGTCCATCGACGGCTTGGAAGTATATTATGCAATTGTGGTGATGTAATAATGTGGCCGCTGCAACGCTATTGTCCTCTTCTATCTGCAAAGAATAATAGAATGGTTGAATTTATAGTATATAAATAAATATGAAATATGGAATTACATAATGCAATTCCAGTTGAAAAATGGCAATCTACGATGCTGATGACAGTGTGAATTTTCAACAAAACATGTAATGTGCATGACAAATGAATAATAAATTAGTTCTAATAGACCTTCAATGCCATATTAACTCAAGGGGAGTCGTCATTATCTTGGCTTCGGTAGTATTTTTGGAAGTGATCCTCAGGAAAATTCAACTTTTGGAGATAGCTCGTTTAATTTGAGCTAGCCATAGTTTCGTCTTCGAGCAGTTTAGATTACGTTTGGTATGCCCATTACGAGGCTTGTGCAAATTAACACAAGATTAAATGTACAAATCATTCTAATTATGCTTATGAAGACATCAAATTAAGGATGTGTCATGCTAAGCATTATAAACATGTTAAGTGGTCTAGCCAATGAAAATCTGATAAACAATTAGAAGCAAAGATGCAAAAGGAATGATCCAGAAGGAATTGCACAACCTGAACAACAAATAATGCAGTGATATTATATAAGCAGTATTCAGTATTTTTATTTAGTTCAGTCTTTCATGCTGAAATTTTGCACACTGCAGTAGCTTTTGAATAATGTACTGAAAATGTGGAAATTCTAGGCTAAAGGACTACAGACAGATAAATTTGATTGTTGACACGCTTCTGCTCTTCAATATTTAAATTTTTAAAGAGGACAACAGTCATAAAAAACTAGTACAAGTGAGTAAATTAGTGGTGAGGGTCAAAGCAATATATATTTTGGACGCCACCTTACTACACAGTTCTATGTTTAAAACACACATTTTGCTCTGAACATAATACTAAACGGCATTACATACCATGTATTTACGAGAAATGTTTTTCAACTGGATGGAATTGGAGAGCTGTTGTTCCATTAGTGGAATCTTACTCGCGACAAATTATCTGCACTTCACATTATTGCGTCATAAATAAAAATTGCTATGTTTATGTTAAATGTATTATTCGCTTTGTCTGCTCCATAGACATCATTTGTTGTAATCTCTTAAGTACGCAGTGCCAGCCTGCTACATAGTTGACGGAGTAAATTGCTCGACGCGAAGAAATGTCATCATATTTCAGGAGTAATATTAATAATAAAAATGCTTACTGGCATTTACATTGGACAAAGAAGCATAACTTTAAATTCCTCTCTGGTTTGTATTTTATTTATTATTAGCGTTCTTGTTACAAATGAGTATGTTCGCTAAAAAAATAAGGAAATAGTTTTATGATGTCGGGACGTAACTCTATCGGATAAATGCAAATAATAATAAAACTAACGATAATTATTAATTCGTATCTTATGTTATCTTTCATACTTATTACAAGTAATTATTATTATACATAAATATGTAGGATAGTTCTTGAGGATTCGACCAAATGACCTGAATGATTATTCATTTGCATTTATGTTTAACAAAGTCTTCATACTTATCCACTTACAGATAGCTCCATTACTTATTGCAATGACTCAGCAAATTAAAAAAATCTGAGTCACCCACGCTAATAATAGAGGATATACAGGCATTTGTAGTGTCTCTATTTGCACTGCAATTCAGATTGTTGACTGGGCAGGAAATAATAAGTGCACATCAAATCCATATGGCCTGTGTTTTTAAATCCCGAATGCAGTTTTATATTTGGAAGAATAATAGGAAGAAAAATCAGGAAGAGTGAATAGTCTCGTCTCTTGAGAATTGTACTTGCTTTGGTTGTTGACATTAGACGAATGATCTGGTTGAAAAAATTTGCACGTATTCAAATTAAGCAAAACACACATTGCACGTGAAAAAAAACCCTTGCGGGTGAAGTTTTCTGCCTGTTGAATTCACAGAAGATTTACTGAGTTACAAATTACTGTGTGAGAAGTATCCGAGTGTTTTGTATTTATTATATGTTATGCAAATAAGTATATTGTTATGCGTTATTATTATTCTCACCCATTCATTCACTCTCGAAATCCTCGCTTCATTGCGAATGAAAAAGAAGGAGAGAATTTGAAGGGATATAAGAAAACGTGCTTAATTTCTCGTAAACACGATAAATCAAAGATCTTCCTTCAGGAACTTCAGTTGTGTCGCGTCATTCAAAACAGCAGAAGCCCATTCAACGTAGTCGCTCAAACTCACCAAATCCAAATCTGCAAAACGACAATTCCATTTTTTGTGTACGGTGTTGCGTCGGGGTCAAGTTTACGGACGTGCTTTTGTGCAGAATTGAATGCCAAGAGGAGCTGCAGGGATTGCGGAAGACGCACAATCCATTTTCCATATTCATAATTGATTTCTTTGAAGTGTAAATGGTTATAAATCAACAGCTTATCGCGAATCGCGAAACTTCAAAGTTGAAATATTGTCTCAAGAGAGCAATTTACTGCGAGGAGCAGTTTGACGATGAATGAATATATTTATTCCCAATTCCTGCTCGTTAATTTGTTACCAACTACACATATCTGTACTCATATGTACATGTATTTAGGTACATTTATGTATTTAACGGCAGGTTTGCAAGGGAGATGAAAGGAAAGGAGGAAGTAGAAAGTAAAATAACTACCCATCACTCCATATTGAAAAATGGTTCATTTTCCACACAGATCAGTACATAAAATTTTTCTCAATTTGAGCAGCCCAAGGAATTGCACCATATTTCCTTCCAAAAAGAAGAGTCCCACTGCCTCATCTTCGTTCGTGCTCATTTACGTGATGGTTTTATTTTACTTCTCTTGTACCACCTTTTTCAACATATGCCCCCTAAATGCATACAGCCTGAGCCACATACATATTCCATCATAATACATAATGCCGTGCCGTTATACATTCTTGCTCACGGATGGCGAGACACTTACGGAAATTGAATTTTTTGCATTGTTCTTGTTCCCAACTTTTTCCCACAAACTCTTTCTCACGTTCTCGCAAGACTTTTTTCGGGAATAAAGGGCTTTTCTTCCTGAGTTATTATGAGTTGATATATATTTGCAGGATATGTTCATTCGTAAGAGGAAATTTAAACCTACGTGAATTTTTCAGGAATGAATTCCATTACTTCGTTTCCATTTTCACTTTTCAAACCAAAAGAATTGGGGGCCCAGGTGAGTTTGATTCGAGTCATTGCATGTGATATGCCCTTCAATGTATTACTCTCAATTTGTACTCGTGGACGTCCAAGAAAAGTTGGTTGTTCAAAAGGATAAAAAAATCATTACTAGCAATAAAACTCAGAATGTTCTTCCAAAGAAGGTGGTCTTTGAATATGTTCACAACGAAAAGGTGCCATTGCCTCACAAGGGTCAGATTATTATTATGTCACCAACATACATTTCCTGCGAGTTGTGACAACAACTTCTAAGATTTTCTTAGAAGATTTTCTTGTTTTCGAAGCTATATTTGATAAAAACATTTGCTACAAATACATCTTGAATTATACTTATCTACTTGTGTCCACGAATTATTCAAATAATTTTTGACAATTTACACTCATTTATATATGAATATTTATATATACATTATACATGTACATACTTGTGTTAAGCAGAATGCGCAATCAGACTTGTTATCAATATTTAGAAGTTGCAAAACTGTTTTGATTTTTATTTTAAAATAAACAATACTACTGAACATAATAAGACTCTCTGAGCATACAACATATGTACGTATAAAATTTTGTATTTTGAATATCACTGTTAGAATCAAATTATTTCATGATGCCATGAATGGTATCATAATCATATCATGTATCACCTCCTCCACTAGACAATCAAGTTGTTTGAAGTTCCTCATTCGATGTAGGTGTGAACAAAGTCGAATAAATTTTTAGCACTGACAGAATTACAACTCAATTAATTGGAAATGAAGTGGATACGAATTTGATTGCAGATCAACAAAAACCAGTGCATTTCCAATAGGATAATTAGCGAGAAGATTTTAAATTGAAGGTGCACGCACACCACCGCTCAATCAATACTCATCATGACTTTTTGCACAGTGTACATATTCGAGTATCTACATGTAAAATTGCAAACTTTGATTGCTGATTCCACTGATGAGATTATGCTCGACACAAAAGGGCTTTATGTGCACAAATATTCTTCATAGAAAGCCAACCATGAATTCGTTGAACCCTGACAGAGTCATCCTCTTAAAAAAGTGCCCGATGAGTTTTAATAAGCAAAGAACCAAAAGACTTCTAGTCTCCACCCAATAAATGATCCCAATAAAACCCTGCTTAGGATTTCATGGTATGCACTCCTACACACAATTGCTGATGATTGAAGTATTATGTATTTAATCTGCTACAACCACGCCACGACTATTAATGCTCAAAATTTGAAGAAGCCACAACTCACCGTGTTGAGGCCCACCTATTTTATTTTATTTAATGTTATGAATACACCGTAGAGTACGTAATGGTACCGCATAGTAAATCATTGCCTGCACAAGTGCAACAAAACAGGGAGAAAATGCATGAACATGTTGAACCTGAATTTACTTATTGACAGTTGAGTTGGATGTACGTTGTAATTACAAAATCTCAATTGTCATTCTTATTCTTGGGTGGGAACATGGCATCCTTTTCCATCCAATGAAGGCCATAAGATCATGCACGAGTGGCATGTCAAAGTCAAGCCAATTTAAAATTTAATTTTAAATTTTTGCCTTCCCGTGTGTCTAATACTTAATTGTGATTTTCGTTTGGTATTGTTTTTACAGATACGTAGCTCTTCTGTTCACTCACAAATTGAATTTCATGAGTTTCATTTTAATCTGTCACAATAGTAACAGAATGGCCGGTGATGACAATGACAAGCATGATGATGAAACATGGCATGCAGATTCTGCATTGCAGAATGCAGTGTATGTAACGTGTAATGCCAAGTTATTAGCATGATCCGATTCACAATTCATCCGTACATCAAGCCGAGAGAGAGCGAGAGAGATTAGAACAC